TATATATATATATATATATATATATATGTATGTATACATAAATATAATAGTCGCACAGACCACCATGATCAATAACGCTGCTGCTAATGCATGAGCCGACTTGAATCCCACTATCTGAGTTTTAAAGCAAGGTGCAGTGAGCTGTTCCACAAGGTCACTGCGTTTACAGACCCTGATGTGGTTCAAGAGGTGTTAAACATTGACTAGACATCCTCCCTCTGCTCCCAAATATTTCCCTTAAAAAAAAAATCCCCCTCTGAGTCAGAGCTCCATCCTCTTGGCTGATATCCAGCGACAAAGATAAGATGTAGGGCACTTAGCCCGGCATCGGCATGGGAACCCTGTCGCCTGGAGGCCTGAATAATTCAGCACCTGAGATAAATTTACTGCTTATGAAGTCATGCAAAAGAGACAGAACAGAGCTTTATTATTATCTGTACACTGTTTTTATGTGCATACATAATTTCCTTGTGGGAATTCTTCGTCGCTTTAGTGTTGTGTGAGAAAACCTTTCATCAGACTGGTGACACCCCCACCCAGTTCGAGCTAAAGTAAACACACATACATGCGTCAATATTTGCACCAGGTTCTCGTGCTGCGTATTCATGTCCTGCACCGTCGACCGCATCTGTCTGACAGGTTTGACACCCTGAAGCTGTCCACTGTGTGTGTGTGTGTGTGTGTGTGTGTGTGTGTGTGTGTGTGTGTTTATAAAGGGCAAGGCTTTGAACCTACAGCCATGGGTGGGGTGTATCGCCATGTGTGCTATAAGTTTTTTTTTCCACTGCATGTAAATGTCTCTTCGTCCCTGTCAACACTTTGTAAGTCAATCCTCCCTCCAGTGCCGTCAAGTGACACCAGCAGCAGTCATGCGTCACTCAGAAATCTTGTTTCATTGCTTCCTCTGCTGTTGGTCAGAGTAGTTAAGCATCTGTTAATAATTCAGTGAGGTTATAACAGACATTAACAGATATTCAATCTTTTCCCCTGTGGTTTCTTTAAAGGGTGAGTTCAGTATTTTCACATTTTTTGTGTCTAAGTAGCTGAGGGTAACAACAATTTTGAAATTCGTCCATTATTGAGTGAGAGCGCTTCAGCTGGCAGCGGCAAAACATGCTGAAAGGTTACCTCTTGGGGCAACTGTGCACTGTCAATTTACAGCCACTAAAAGTGTTTGTTTTTGTCACTGACAGGCTCAGATTGTTTTGTAAGTGTCTGCCTGGGTAGCCAAAATGACCTGGCCCAGAATTGGCCCGAACTCCACACGCCAGATTGAGTCTGGCTGCTGACACTGCCATCTGGACTGTTATCAAAAATTACCTGGCCCACCTTTGGCCCAAACTCAGCATGCCAGAAGAAATAGGTTGAGCCGCGTTTGGTAGCCCAACTCCACTTAGATTCGCCATGAATGACGCCCCAGAATCGGGCCAAATCAGTTAGCCTGAGTCTGGCTGTCGACACTGCCAACACTGGGCCATTATCAAAAATGACCTGCCTCTTTGGCCCAAACTCAACACACTGGAAGAAATAAGTCTGGCCGCATCTGGTTACCGGACTCCACTGAGACTCACCATGAATGACACCCCAGAATCAGGCCTAATCAGCTGGCCTGATTCTGGCTACCGTCACTGCCATCACTGGCCCGTTACCAAAAATGACCTTACCCAGCTTAGGCCCAAACTCGGCACGCCAGAAAAAATAAGTTGGGCCACAACTGGTTGCCTGACTCCACTGAGACTCGGCATGAATGACGCTCCAGAATCCTGCCAAATCAGATGGCCGGATTATGGCAGCCGTCACCTCCATTACTGGGCTGTTATCAAAAATGATCTGGCCCAGCATCAACCCAAACTCGGCATGCCGGATGAAATTAGTCGGGCTGCATCTGGTTGCCCAACTCGGCATTAATGACCCCCAGAATCGGGCAAAATCAGCTGGCCCAATTCCAGCTACCGTCACTGCCATCACTGGGTGACATTATGGAAAGGATCCCTACAGAGATAGACCTTTTTGTTGAAGAGTAAGATCATTTTTGTTCAACCAGAAACAGCCCCGAAATCACCATCACCAAACCCACCAGACTCCATTTAAAGAAACAGTAATTTTAGTGTGTATAGAGCCAGCATATTTTCACCTCTAACTGGGTGAATTAAGGGTTTATTTCAACCAAACCAGAGTTGGTGATTGTTGGAACAGTGGAAAGATGAACCAAGATGGTTTTTGGAAGTTTTATTTTGTGTCTGTCAACTTTAAATTAAGTGTGTTTTACAATTAGAAAATTACTGTTTCTTTAAATGGAGTCTGGTGGGTTTGGTGATGGCGATTTCGGGGCTGTTTCTGGTTGAACAAAAAGGTCTATCTCTGTAGGGATCCTTTCCATAATATTGCCAGACACTGATAATAACAATCTCAGCGTGTCAGCAGCAAAAACAAGCACTTTTAGAGGATGTACAATGATGGTGCACAATTGCCCCAAGTGGTTACATTGCAGCCTGTATCGCAGCTGCAGCCTCTCTCTTAATATTGGACCAGTTTCCAAAAACTGTTGTCTCTTTTAGTCACTTAGACACAGAAACATGAAAATAAGGTCCAGAATATAAAATGAAAAAGTTCCCCTTTAAAGTCAGAAACTTGTGTCTCTCTCATAAGACTCAGAAGGTCAAGAGGCAACAGGAAGTCAAGGATTTTTTAATGCTCACAACACCTCTCCATCTCCATCTCATCTCAATTATCTGGAAATAATATGATAGAGAGCCCGAGGTCGTCGGACTACCTACTCGAAATGAATAAGAAAAATCATCTTTTCATTACAGTGCGAAAAATGGGAGAGAAGGAGCGAGGAGGGTGCCGAGATGAGAGAAGGAAATGAAAGAGAATAGAATATGAAGACGGATGGCTCAGTCAGAGGGAGGAGAGGGAGCAGTTAGCCTGCAGGTCAGTGGTGGACTCTAATGTACTGACGTCTCAGCTGGTACACAGAGCGTATGAATAAATGAACACAATATATTATTCATGGTTTGATATGTGTTAGTTGTCTTTATTTATTTCATTATACAACAATAAAAACACGGCTAACTCTCCCAAACTTTGAATAACAACAGGTTTACTGTACGTGTTTTTAAAAAATGAGGCACAATTACGTTCACAGATATAAAGTTGGAAGAAAACATGCCTAAAATTATATGTTTGATCACAAAGATCTGGGAAAGTATATATTCAGGTGATTATGTCTTAACTCAGGAGGGTCTTTAAAGGGCTGCTCCAATGATTTAGTACCCTTCTTTTGTAGAGAGGCGAGTCCCTCCCATTCTGATGGACCACTATGCGACCTTACTTCGGAAAAAAGGTTTACTGTAGTCAACGACGAAAGACAAATAATTTTTGATCCCGTTTGAAATGTGCCAAAAATTTCGCATAAGATTATTTTGCGAGCCAAAAAGCCATGTGTCAAAAAACACGCCCCTAATATTTTCGATGTAGAACCCCACACCGGCAGCAACTAGATGCGTGCCACTGTCCTATTTCCAGCCTCATTACCCCCCGAATTAAATGCATTTTCCCCTACTTGCTATCTGCTTGTACAGACCAGCTCCTGTGACAGCTCTTTTTCTCTGCTCCTATAGCAGCTCGACTCCTCTCCTCATTATGGATGTATAAAGAGAACTCCGTAGCTGTTGCTGTCTTGTGTGTGACAAAGAATTGATAACGAGAGACTCGTTGTGGAGGTGGAGAAATATCCTGAGCTAAACGACCCACAATCTTGTCATAAAGAAAGTGGCCAAAAAGATATCGCCTGGCGAGTCATAGCTCTGGAGAAGCTGAGAAATCAACTTTAATTAGGAGCTGTCCACACGTGATTTTAAGCTAACGCAGAAGTGGAAGAGGTACAGATCTGTCAGTAAAAGTAGTAATAACTTTGCGTCAGTGTGAAGCGTCTGGTGCATGCTAGGGGCAGCAATCGATGTGCATCACATAACGTGCCTTGCCGTGGCGGGGGCTGGTGTGTTTTCAGTTTAAGACCATGAAAATACATGATTAAAACAACTACGCAAGTTGCGTCAGTGACGTCATAGCTTTCTCTCTTGCTGAACATTACATGTGTGTGTGGAACATGGCTAAGCTAGCTAGCTAGCTAGCTGGTGTTGACAAAAGATGTAGATCACTGATCGGTTTAACACAAAACTGAACCTTCAACAAATTGCAGCTTTCTTGAATTACAAAATGATCTTGTAAATTGACAAACATCATATGTGTAACTTGTGGCACAATGTTAACAGGATCAACAACTTATTTGCCTCTCGTCATTTAACTACAATACCTATTGTTTCCGGAAAAAAGGTTCCGGTGGGGACACTGGAAGATAAGGGGCTTCGCCTCTCTGTACAGGACTCACTTGAGACAGATTTTACTTTTTAATAAAGTTACACAGGCTGAGATATACTGTCTCTCAGAGACTGATTATACCTGGTATGAACATGTGTATTTAACCACATATCTTTTGCAGTGTAAACACTAATGCATCCTAGCAGTAACGAAATCTGAACACAAGTGGTCGGCTGGAGATGCATGATTGACACCGAATCACCTAAACACATGTTAATACCAGGTCAAAACAGGCTCATTGTCTTTAGCACCAACAACACTTGATCCTACATTTCCCATAATGCATCTTAGACATTCTCCACCTGATAAACGCCTGTGTGGAGACCAAAACAAAGCTAAAAGAGTTAAACACCAACTCCACGATTTCTAATGTTGTAGGTGTAAACAGGAAACACTTTCACAAAATCAAACAACTTCATAAGATGATAAAATGTCTAAAACAATAAAGTTTAATGTTTTAGTGATGCAGGGAAGCCGAGAACAGCCGTGCTTAATATTTTTTCATACTGTTATCCTGAGATAACAAAGCTTTTCTTTTTAACGTGCAGTAAAGAGATAATCAGCCTGTCATCTTGAGAAAAAAAAGGTCACTTGCTTTAATTACGTTAATGCATCAAACAAAAATACATTTATATTTAGTTATGAATTCTCCAGACAGTCATGACAGTGAGGTGTGATAAATGAACTGAGTAGAGTTTCCCACAATTAAACCATGATCAACCCATGTGTTTTCTCAAGAATTGACTGATTGATTAGTATTTAAGCCAAGAACAGCCAAACTTGCAATTATTTTATAAGCCAGACACTCACTTTTGAGTTCTCTATAAATACTAGAATGATTATGAGACGACGAAAGTTGTTTTCTTGTGTTGACTTAGCTTATTATCTCAAAAAATCTGTAAACTGTTCGAAAATCAACATAAATTACCGTGATCACAAGAAAACGAGCTTTGTTATTTTTTTGAGATAATTGACCCGTTATAAAAACAGGCAAAAAAACAAAGGTTGTTTCCTCTTGCTCTAATGACGCAACTACAGCAAACAAAAATACACATTTATGTCTCGAAGACTCCTGAAAGTCATGAGAGTGAGATGTGATCACATGAACTGGACATTCATTTTTCAGTTCTCCATGATTAACTCATGATCTCGAGATAAATTATCTCGTTATCTTGAGAAATTGCCCTTTTTCTTCTCAAGAATCAACCTAAATCAACCAGTTTTCACAAAACTCACACAAGAAAAGCAAAAGGTTGTGTCCTCTGGGCCTTCACACATTTCATCTGAAATTGTCGCACATGTAAAAATAAACACAACTTCATGTTGTGTCAATCACATTTGCACTTTGAGTTCGAAACGTTCGTCCGTCATTAAAATTTTTGGATGTTCAACTTTCTGCGTTTTTTGCATCTGTCCGAGCCTTTAGAGACGTCTGACCAAGAATCAGAGAAGAAAATGTGGCAGCAGGACACAGCCGTGACAAGACAGAGGAACGGGGCGCGCAGAATCATTTCACAGGGTGATGGATAAACAAAAAACGCATCCAAAAAAAAAACAGACTCAGTGTGCAAAGTAAGTACGTAAGTTAACCCACGCTGACATGTTTAGAATATGATGGGCTCCCAGGTTCGACCCATGAACCCTTTTGCCGTAAGGCGACAATGCTAACCACTGTTAACCCGCCTGTTTCTTGTGATAAATTATTTAATTCTCTAAAGACTGGCCTTTTGTTTTCTCGAGAATCGACATCAAAACAGCTTCGTTATCTCAAGAAAACGAAATAATAAACTTCTGGATCTCAAGATGACGGCATTAGAAAAATAACTGCAAGCACGGCCATTCTCAGCTTCCGTAGAAATGTCTGACACATGGGGAATTACAAATATAAAATCTGGTAGTGACCATAATGGGCGGGAACAGACTGGCTTGTTTAACGTTCGCAATTAATGTCAAAATAACACTGTCACTTTTAGAGAAAACGATGAGTCTGTGTCTGAATATTGAAGCTTATTTGTCGTTTAACCCAGAATACTGCGCTCTCTTCACACCACCACAGGATACGATTACAGTTTCTTAAACTCTTCTCGTCACATCTCCTAATACTCCGGTCTACTTCCTGGATCTGTGACGGCCATCGTCAGGTTGTTCCTACTTCCTGTTTGGGAATGACAACCCACACTTTATTCTCAGACTGTACCTGTTTCTGGGTTTTAGATTAAACAATTAACTGACTGATTACATGCAAAACTTTTCTCTACCTCCATATACAAAAAACATCACATCATCTGCATATTGAGTAACAAGACCTTAGTTCATCGGGAAGGCCCTGGTTCAGGCTCCTGTGACATTAAGCAGCCGCCCTGCTTTAACGCCCCTTGAGCAAGGCACTACTGTAAATCTATTTTAAGAGGAGATGGAGTGCGTCACAAGCAGACACACTTTCCCCGCTTTCTGCTTGTAAAATTACCGGCTGTTGTGACTCTGTGTGTCACTCTCGCCGCTGTCGTCCTCATCATTATCAGCAGCAGCACTTGTGACTCCGCGTGGAGCAGGAATGTGGAGGGGACGACTCCCGGGTCGACCTCGCCTCTCCAGTGCTGATGTTTCATTGGTCTTGTTTGGGTTTTTAAAAAGTGTCCGAGTGTTGTTTTTCTCCTCTCTTTGGAAAACTGTCGAACGGGAGAATAAACTTTACCAAACAGAAATGAAAAACACACATGTGGCTGATAAAAAACACACGAGACACGTTACCTGAGTTTCTATCGTTTCTCTTTGTCCAAGTTGTTCGTCTCCTCCTGTTGAAGGAAATAATATTGATTCAACACAGTAATAATTAATGATAATCAATGGCGTGTTCTGCCATCATGTTTGTGTACTTTCTTGGGCTGAAGGCATTTTTCCTCCTCACACAGTCAATATGAGAAAGCCAAAAGTCAACAGAGTATGAAATGAAACAAACACGGATGTTAAAGCTGTAAATTGATTCTTTGCATTTGTACTGTCTATGAAACACGAGGGTTTCGTCTCTCCACCCTAAAACAAATTTGATTATGACGTGACTCAAATCTCTCACATTACCAGGCTCAATTTCAGTAACTGTAGAAAACAAACTGTGACACAACATCGGCTTCATCTGTACGGAGGACAAAACATGACTCAAGCATAAAAGAATAGATATGGATATAAATAAAAGTATACATACAAGAATAAATGAATAAATACAGAAATAATTTGATATGACATACAGAAATAAATGCCTCAATAAACAAAAGAAAAAATGACAATTAAATGTTAAATAAATATGGAAATAAATAAATGCATAAATACATTTCTGTGTCTGCATGTGAATGATTCAGAAGGTCCGAACCTCTGAATTTGTTTCTTTATTTATGCATTTATGTACTTTAATATTTATTTCTGTATTTATTTCCCAATTTATTAATTTTTTTAAAATTTATTTCAGCATTTATCAAATCTTTTATTTATTCATTCATTCATTCTTTCTTTCTGTATTAATTTATTTTTTATTATTTTTTAGCATTTATTAATTATCTTATTTATCTATTAATTTATTCTTTCTGTATTCATCTCAACATTTAATAATTATTTCATTCACAACCATTTATCAAATCATTTATTTATTTCGGCATTTATCAAGTCTTTCTTTATTTATACTTGGTATTTAATTTCTGTATATATTTTAACATTTATTAATTACCTTATTTACATATTTATTTATTCTTTCTGTATTTATGTTTCTGTATTTATTTCAGCATTTATTATTTCTTTATTTATTGTCTTTTATCAAGCCTTTATCAAATCTTTTATTCATTTATTAATTCATACATTTTGTATTTATTTATTTATTTATAAATTCCTTTATCTATTTTCCCCATATCTAATTATACACATATTTATTTCAGCATTTATCAAATCTTTTATTCATTCATTCATTCATTCTGTATTTATTCATTTATCTATTATTTTAGCATTTATTAATAATCTTATTTATCTATTAATTTATTCTTTCTGTATTATTTTCAAAATTTAATAATTATTTCATTAACAACCATTTATCAAATAATTTATTTTATTTATTTAATATCAAGTCTTTCTTTATTTATACTTTGTATATAATTTCTGTATATATTTTTGTCATTTATTAATTCCTTCATTTATCTATTTATTCTTTCTGTATTAATTTCAGCATTTATTAATTGTTATATATTTATTGTCATATTTATTTATTTCAGCATTTATCAAATCCTTTATTTATTAATTCATACTTTGTGTATTTATTTATGTATTTCTTTCTTTCTTTTTTAATTCCTTTAGTATTTATTATCATTTATTTCAGCATTTATGAATTCTTTTATTTTTTATTTCCGTATTTATTCATGTAGTCCTGTGTTTATTTATACTTTTTTTTAATCTACTTTTTCAGAACCCTAGGAATGCCACTCAGCCATTAAGATATTAAATATCTAAATATGGTTTTAGAAAAGTGGTGTCTTTAGTAATGTTAACCAACTGCAAATATTGTCTCCTTTCAAAATTTATCCAATTAATAAGATCAATATCAGGCCCAATAACGAGCTGACAAATCCAGTCGTTGCATGGATGTTGAAAATTTTGCAGATGATCGAATGTTACTAAATCATTGGTGCTACAAAAGCAGGGGTGGGCACCTCCACAGGAAACTGTGTGCATGAACATGAATGTGATTATAAAGCAAATCCGTCTGACGACTAACACTGAAGTTGAATCAGTAATGAATGCTTTATTTTATTGATTCCTGTTCAGGTTTTCAGTTGTTTTTAATTTATCTGGTCACAGAAGAATCTGAGAGGAAATCACCTACAAGGAAACGTTGTGTACACAAACCTGAAGACAACTCTCTGCACACTCTTGTAAACAGTAAATTAAAACACCGAGGAGAGACGAGCTGAGGCTGCTCACCATCACCTGGAGCACTGAAATTTCATAAGCAGCGTTCCCGTGATGTAAACAGAACCCAGCAGAGCTGCAGGCGGATCATCACTGCAGCTGGATTTATCAGCGACTCTTTATCATCAATGTTTAAACACTTATTTAACTAAAATCCCATTAACTTCACAACAAGTTATATCTCATGAAGAGTCGTATCTCTTTGTTGAAAGTAGTTTTTCTGTTTTGTTTTATAATTGTTTTCTTGATCCATGACTCCTGAGGTGTCTTCTGTTTTCTCACTGTTGTACATTATGAGCTCTTTGTGGAGTTTTGTGTTTTCTTTGTATATACAGTAGTCTCTGTTTGATATTAGAAGAGTCTGTACGATGAAGTTGACTTGAACTCTGCCTTCTAAACAGGTGTGTGAATGTGCCATTTTAGTAACACATCTATCTGCAGGTTTTACCCATATTTAGGCATTTTAACATGGGAGTCGATGGGGATTTGCTCTAGTATGCAGCCAGCCCCTAGTGGCCAGTCGATGAATTGCAGTTTTTGGCACTTCCGCATTGGCCTCACTCGTCCGCCCTGGAGGTTGCCGCTTGTTTTTACCTCACAGAGTTTAGAGATCGATGGATTGACAGAAAATTTTCAGCTACTATTTTGATTATAGATTAATCGTTTAAGCCATTTTTCAAGAAAAAACAAAACTGGTTCCAGGAATTCAAATGTGAGAATCTGGTACTTGTTTTCCAATCAAATCAATCTGCAACTGAATGACCCGATATTGGTTAATAAAATCTTAGATCGATCTTTTCATATGGGCTTTTTTTCTCACGGATGCGTGAAGCTTAACCCCGTTAATCTCACCGGAAGTAAACAAGCCATGTGCGAAATTATAAACGACCGTAGTCTTGAGAAGCTCTGACGTTAGCCATTCTTTAATCTGTAACTGTTAGCTTCCTGTTTCATGCTGCAGCAGCCTCTTTTAGCCACTTTCACGCACATACACAAACACGGAGTAAAGACGCCGCGGTGGAGACAGAGGAGTGAAAATAACTTCAGCTAACGACAGCTACGCTTGTTGTTTTAAGTGAAAGAGAACCTTCATGAGGAATGAGTCAATGGTTTTAGTTATAAAACTATTTTAGTTATAAAATATTCAGTTTTAATCCTGTTGAGAATGTATTCTTTTTTAAAAAGATTCCTTGTAAAAATTTACAGTATTACTTATCTGAGAATCTCTTTCACATTCTGGCAAAGATTGGGATTGTAACTGAAGTATCCCCAAGCGAATCGAACCAAATCAGAAATCAAATAGGCACAGGAAATCAGTGGCGACACCCAGCCCCAATGATAATACTGATGTAGTTTAATAATAAATTACACAGTGTATCAGCGCACAGAGAGCCTGAGGGGAAACAAAGAGACACAGATGATGAAGTTTCCAGGATACAGACCTGCTGGGACTCAGATGTCGTCCGGCTCTTGGGCTCCACCTCTGTAGGAGACGTGGGGACGCTCCCGTTGGCATCTGTTACGAGCAGGCTCCGCCTCTCTCTGGTTGGTTTGTCACACTTTGTCACCCGGAACCTGAGAGGCGACAAATATAAAAAGGTTTTGCATGTTTTTTTAGAGCGGGGAAAGAGAGCAACGAGGACTCATTAAACTCCTGCTCTTATGTGGGGGCCGACATGTTCACTGTATACTGCTGAATTTTTTAAAAAGGATCCCTGTGAATTATTTTTCTAGGTCAAAGAAAAGACTGACCATCTTTGTTGCTGATTTGTTTACACTGTAAACAGTATATTTACATGATAACCCACTGAGTTTGTGCATTGAAGGAGCAAACTCTGTGGGAACCAGCTATTCTCATTTATGCCACAGCTGGCTTCTGCTGCTGCGTCTTCTCACTGATAATACACACACAAACACACACACACTCCGTCTGACCTAAACTTATCACCGCTATCATCCACCCGCACACTCAAACACACCTGCACACACACACACACACACACACACACACACACACACACTGACACACTCCAAAGCTCTAATTAAATCAGTAAATGAATATTTGTATCCAGGTCATGCTGACCCTCTGCGTACACCGTCATTCATCTGGGTGTGCAAATGAAAAGCAACCTCAGTGCATCCCAATCAGCTCGCAGCATGACATTAAGGATGAGGAGAGCGCTCACTGCGTGGCGGGGACAAGGCTGCACGCTTTCACGGGCTCACTAATGGACTGAGAAATGGTAAGTTTACTTACTTGGACACAGTTTATAATGGTGGCATGCTGTCAGGGTTTATTCCCAGTGTGGTGCTTTTGTCTTTAAACAATGGAGAGCGATGAAAAGGGTCCAAGCCCATCTTTAAGAGAAAGAAAATCCCCAATATAGTTGTGCACAGGAGCGTCCGGTGTCACATCACAAACAAGACTGCCAGACTGCAGAAAGCTGCGGTTGGTGGGACTATCCCTCTCAGCTGCCTTACAGTCAAGATGGTGGCAAAGATAACAGAAAATGGGTCACATGTGTCCTGTAAGGCTCGTTGTTTTCAGTCCTTCCCATCTCCGGAAAACTTGTGGCCACAACCCACCAATCTAAGGGACACATGCCGAATCTTTAACCCCCTGGAAAACGTGAGGTCAGGCGCTGGGTGCTACTCTTGGGCCTTTTCTGTGCCGGCTTTCAAGAGCGAAAGACACCTGTTGGCTGGTCTCCGTCAAATGACATGCGGTGTGCACAGCTGTGTTTTAAAACTTGAACTAGTTTATCTGAAGGCACAGACATTGCACCCTCAAAAACCGGTGTTCGGGACAATGTGCGCACTGCAATGGCATTGCTCTGACATTTGAGTGCATGTGCTGCACGTCTACATTGAAAACAATGCATTTGCGGGCGCAAAAAAGCGGCATGAGTATGGCCTCTGTTACCCGTTTTCCACCAAAGCAGTTCCAGTGCTGGTGCTGGTTCTCAGTTGGTCCAACTTGCAAACCAATTTGCTTTTCCAAGGCTCGAGGTGGTTAGGATGCCACGTCATTGCGCCACTGTATACATCAGTTAAGTCGTTGCTTTCCCACTGGCAACACCGATGGCGGACCACGTATTTGTGCAGTTGTTACTCCTGGCTCTACGAAGCTTCATAAGCATCCAAACACGGCAGATACATCGTATTTGTGCTGCTCGACAAGATTTGTATGGACGGCGATTACGTTCCAAAAGACAGGTAATAACCTAACATGGTCTCAATAACCTTGCCCCCTTCCCCATGACATATGTGGTTCGTTCTTCTAGTCCAGCAAAGAACTGGTGCCACCCTGGAACCGGTTTTTCTCGCCCAGAGCCAGTTCTTTTGTCTGTCGAAACAGGAAAACCGGTTCCAAATTAAACGCTGGCCCCGAACCAGCACTGGAACTGCTTTGGTGGAAAAGGGGTCTATGAGGAGCGAGGAGTCAGCAGACAGTATGAAACAGTCAATAAAACAGGTTTTTCAACACCTGTGAATCACCACAACCACGAGAGGTCCTTGAGCATACAGTCATGAATGTGCAGACAAAATATGAGGCTGGCTGGTCTAGTAGTTTGTGAGATTAGCTGCAGATAGACACACACACTCACTTGCACACATATGACCAAATGCAATAACTCCTCCAGGTTTATGCCTGGCGGAGATTAAAAAAAAAAAAGAGAGACAGATACAGTACAGGCCAAAAGTTTGGACACACCTTCTCATTCAATGCGTTTTCTTTATTTTCATGACTATTTACATTGTAGATTCTCACTGAAGGCATCAAAACTATGAATGAACACATGTGGAGTTATGTACTTAACAAAAAAAGGTGAAATAACTGAAAACATGTTTTATATTCTAGTTTCTTCAAAATAGCCACCCTTTGCTCTGATTACTGCTTTGAACACTCTTGGCATTCTCTCCATGAGCTTCAAGAGGTAGTCACCTGAAATGGTTTCCACTTCACAGGTGTGCCTTATCAGGGTTAATTAGTGGAATTTCTTGCTTTATCAATGGGGTTGGGACCATCAGTTGTGTTTTGCAGAAGTCAGGTTAATACACAGCCGACAGCCCTATTGGACAACTGTTAAAATTCATATTATGGCAAGAACCAATCAGCTAACTAAAGAAAAACGAGTGGCCATCATTACTTTAAGAAATGAAGGTCAGTCAGTCCGGAAAATTGCAAAAACTTTAAATGTGTCCCCAAGTGGAGTCGCAAAAACCATCAAGCGCTACAACGAAACTGGCACAACCAAACTACAACCAGATTTTCTACCTGAGGCTGCACAGGGAAGAAAAATAACTGGGGCTGGCTGCACAAAACACCTTAAGTTAATATTTTCCTGTAAGTTCTAGTCAAGGTTTGCTCAAAATATAGTTGGTTGCACAAAACACTCTTAAGTCTTCTCCTTCAGGTGTTCTTAAAATATTCTCTAGTATTTATGGTTTTCTCCTTGTCTTGGTCATATACTGAAGTAATCCCGAGACCGCGGCACAGAAGACCTTAGCAACTGAAGCAAGTTCTAAAACAACTTAAGGTACCTCAGACTCTGTCTTAAAGGGATAGTTCAACATTTTGGCAAATTCGCCTATTGACGTAATCCCTATAGTCATATGAGTAGGTACATTACCTTTAATTGTCAGTGCGTGCTGTTCTGAGATCGGTGGGGCAGAGCTGCCTGCTGCTCGGCGCACAAAATGGAGGTGAACAGTACAGCCCCCTCTCTCCCTCAAAACTAATCAAATACACCATCAAATGACTCCAAAACACTCAAGTGGACAACACATGGCTTGCGCATTCCCCGCGCTATGAAATAATAATGTATAATTAAGTAACATTACGACACGTGAAGCAAATACTCGGAACTACTTTCTTGAGTAAAACACTGGGCAGAGTGACACAGTGCGCACCTGAGACAGTGCCGTTGTTATTGCTTGTAGCCATTTGCAGTATCGTCAGCTGGACGCACCAGAAGGTTTGAGTTTACAGAGTGTTGTTGTAAATCATGGTTTACACATGCATTGTAAAAGGTTGCGGTAACAAGCCGAAGACATGGAGCAAAGTGAAGTTTCACGTGGTTCCAACCAGTAATACGGACAGGATGAAACAATGGCTATTTGTGCTGGACATCGACCCCAACACGCCTGTGGAAAAGATCCGGAAAATATTTGTATACTCCAGCCATTTATTAACGGAGGACTACGCTGAAAGGATGGAGCGCAGAAGCTCAGGAATGGTTCAGACTCCTTTCTTGAAAGACACTCTCATACTATCTGTCGGCATCACAAAACGAGCAGACGTGGTAAGTGATCGTTGTGTATTTTGCTCAGCAATCTCTCTGCTGTAACGTTACCTCCATGTTGAGTAACATTAGCCTACAACCCAAGCATGGAAAATAAGGCTAAAATGCAAATGTTGTTGTGGTTATGTTATGGATAAGTGCTTGCTCAGAGCATATAGTGAAGTGACTGGTATTACTTCTCATTGTTGGGAATAAACAGACTGCTAGGGAACATTTTATGTTGTTGTTCCTTCAGTAGTTGTGGTGATTTATGAGTGTGGAGTTAGCATGTTCTCCCCGTGTTCCGGTGATTATTTTGAGGCGTACTCTATATTTATATTGCACAGGTGTACCTAATAAAGTGGCCAGTAAGCCTCACATTTACACCACCGGCTCTGGGTCTCCCCTCATCCCCTGGTTGCTCGGCAGCCTCAACCTCTCTTCTTGCTCTCTCTTCTTCTAAAACCTGTAACTCTTCCTCTGTATATTCTGGCTTCTTCTCAACAAACTTGTTGTTTTGATGACGGGAGTAACTGCACTAAACATACGCTGTTTGAAATCACTCCGCCCAGCAAGTACTGTATGTCTGGAATGTAGTTCCGGCTCTGCATTTGGCTTCAAAACAACTCTGTCTCGTAATTATACATTATTATTTCACAGCGTGGTGAGTGTGTAAGTCATTTGATGGTGTATTTGATTAGTTTTGAGGGAGAGAGGGGGCTGTACCGTTCACCTCCATTTCAGCGGGCAGCTCTGCCCCACCGATCTCAGAACAGCAGGCGCTGACAATTAAAGGTAATGTACCTACTCATATGACAATAGGGATTACGTCAATAGGCGAATTTGCCAAAATGTCGAACTATCCCTTTAACTGCAACATGACTGCGTTTATGCGACCGGGAGAACCCAATGGATACGCTTTTGATTTTACCCTTTACATTTGAAGGAATTCATTTTTCGTTGCAATTTCTCCCCACAATCATTTGTTTTCTGGTATTAGGGCACCGATATGGTTTTCTTGTCTTCTTTCCTTCTGCCATTTTTACACTATCTATGTATCAGCGTGAGTCCAAGCAGACAAACAATCTCCATGGAAACTTTTACCACTGTAACATCTCTTTCAACGCAGTAAATAAATTAATATTTTTTCCTAAACTAAGGAAACCTTTGAAGGGATTTTGTGCAACTGAGTAAGTCCGTCAGCTACGGAGAAGTTAGGTCTTAAGTGTCATATTTAAGGAGGAAACTTAAGGGGTTTTGTGCAACTGGTCCCTGGTCCTCAACCTGTGCCTGGTACGGTATTCTCTCCAGCAATGAACCACCCACCATGTGACTGCAGGTATGTTGTGTTCAGTGACGTTCTGCACCAGCAATGTGTGCAGGGTTATCTTATTTTAATTAATTGAGTTTAATTGAATTTTTAACTAGTATTGTTTAAGGATAGACCAATACATCAGCCGGCCGATATATCAGGCCAATATTTGAGTTTTTTACTTGTATCGGCATCGGCCGATACGCGCATGGGTTCGCGGATTTATTTTTCCCTGGCACTTTTTTTAAATTAAAAGTAAGTGGTTAAGTTGAACAAAGCTGTTGAATCCTACTGTGTACAGTAGTTGTTGTTTTATTTATGCTTCAGCTTAAATATTTGTTTATTTTATAAAGACATTACTGGAAGATTTAAGAGCACTGAACTCTTTTTTATTTGAATGTATGATAATAATAATAATAATATTCTACCTGTTATACCTCAACTTTCCATCTTGTTTTAGTATTTTTTACTGTTCAATAAATGTTTCTTATTTTAAACTTGAGACCTGTAATATTTGTTATCATTGTGTCATTTTTTTAATGTAAATTGAGGGAGCAAAAGCAGTATCGGCCCCATAATCGGTCATCGGCTAAGGGTGATGGAAAAAAATCGGTATCGGCATCGGCCCTAAAAAATCCATATCGGTCTATCCCTAGTATTGTATCAAAGTATAAAATTCTGGTATTGTGACATTACACAAGTCAATAATCAAACTGCATTTTGATGTCATTTATGGTCTGCTTTTTTCCCTTATAGTCGTTTAATGTATTTACATACAGAAATGATCTCTCTAAATAGTACTTTTTATTGTTAGTGTTGTTAGAGTCCGCCATTCCCGTATTGGATTCAGATTGCCTTTACAAGCAGGAGGGATCCACAGAGAAAGGATTCATGCATGTCATCCAGCACAGTTTCATCTTCCTGATAACAGCCTCTCTGTTTACCCCTGGCTGTCTTTACACCGTGTCAGAGCTGTATTACTTTACTGCCACTGCAAACACATCTTATTCCTGCTGCTTTTATTGTGAAGCAGCCACATGAAGTCGTATTAAAAAAGAGATGGGTTCACATTCTGTCAGCAATAAGACGCTCCGCACACTCTCCTGAAAAACAATCGTAGGGAGCTGTTAGATAATATCACACATTTCTCTTGTTGCTGTCAGCGTCTCCGTGTTGTGAGGACCTCTTCCTCTTTAGTGTGTTTTTAACAGCGGCTCCACGACACAAGTTAACCACCGAAGCTTCACATGAAACCTCACCACGGTCTGACGCCTGCAGTTTCTACTTTCCCAGGCTTCAGTTTGACCGTCCACGTGTTCCAGATCACTGGTTTGGTGTCAGAGAGTCAAACCTGTGTAATTACATGCGGGTTTTAGAGGGTTAATGTTTAATTGTTAATGTTGTGTTTGAGCTAATATCTAATCTGCCTCTGGGGGAGTTTAATTTAATTAACCTCTGCTGATTAAAGCATCCTGTGTGCTGTGAGTCTATGAAATTTTGGAGGAATGGAAATCATTTCAAAGCGGCAACAAACTGCTTTTCTTTCTTGCCTCGTTGACTCATACACCCACTCACACACACACAAACACACACACCTGCCCACCTGCCCACAGCCAGGACCGTGACCTCTCCATGGTGGCTGCGGCGCTGCTCCGTCTTACGGGCCGACGGCTTCCTCATCAGCGGCCATTTCTTCTGGCTGCAGCGGGTGCAGATGTTCTTGTTGCCTCCCAGGCCACCGATGGTGTGCAGGTGGTTGCAGGTGTGCTTGGCGGCTCCTGCAGGTGCACCCGGTGATATGGGAGTCATGGGAGGGGTCGGGGTGCCGGGAGAGGTGGGGGTGAGCGGAGGGCTGAGGACAGAGAGAGAAATTAGTGTTCAAGACGGAGGTTTGGTGGATATTTCAGTAATGACCCAATTATTATTAATAAATCACATTAAAGTAAAAAATTACACTTTAATTATAAGATGAGTGTGTAATCAAGATGCTGCTGATGACTGTGGCCTGATGTTACGAGCAGAGCACAAACAAAACAATGTAAATCAGCCCCTGAACAATAATTATTCAACAAAGAAATCTTTTATAGGTCTGCAGAATGTTCTACGGAGGACGAAAAGTGACTACTTATCAATAAATGACATAAATGAATAAATGCATGATAAATTTCGGACTTATGAACAAAAACATAAATACATATGAAATAAATTTTAAAAATATATAAAAATAAAACAGATACATAAAATAAATAAATGTAAAAATAAATAACGGAATAAATACGGTTATAACAAAACTAAATGTATAAAATAAATGTTTACATAAATGAAAAATTAAAATACAGGATATTTAAATAAATACAGAAATAGTTATATAAAAGAATAGATAAATGCTTAAAAACACAGAAATGAATTCTGAAAGAAATTAATGCTTAAATAAGTACAGGAATAAATAAACAAATACGTAATTAATTAATTGTGTAAATAAATTAATTAATAATACAGAGTAAATGAACTGTATTAATAAATATTAAAAATACAGGAATAAATAAAGAAATAAATACAGAAAAAATAAATAAAAGAATAAATAAATGCTTAAATAAATACATAAATAAATAAATGTAGAATTAAATAAATACAGAAATTAAAAAATAAATACGGACATAACTAAATAAAAGAATGAATAAATGCTGAAATAAATGAATGTAGAAATAAATAAATACAAATTTAAAAAAAATATGGACATAAAAATAAAGACTAAATAAATGCTGAAATTATTATATGTAGAAATAAATAAATACAAAATTAAAAAAATAAACACGGACATATCTGAATAAAAGAATGAATAAATGCTGAAATAAATAAATACAAATTTAAAAAAATAAATATCGACCTAACTAAATAAAGACTAAATAAATGCTGAAATTAATAAATGTAGAGATAAATAAATACAAAATTAAAAAAAAAAAAACACGGACATAACTAAATAACAGAATAAATAAATGCTGAAATAAATAAATGTAGAAATATAAAATAAAAAAAATATGGACATAACTAACTAAGATTAAATAAATGCTGAAATAAATAAATGTAGAAATACAAAATAAAAAAATATGGACATAACTAACTAAGATTAAATAAATGCTGAAATAAATAAATGTAGAAATAAGTACATACAAAATAAAAAAAAATATCGACATAACTAAGATTAAATAAATGCTGACATTAATAAATGTAGAAATAAATAAATGTAGAAATGAATAAATACAAAATTAAAAAAATAAAAAGAGACATAACTAAATAAAAGAATGAATAAATGCTGAAATAAATACAAAAATAAATATGATGATAGATAGATAGATAGATAGATAAACAAAGATTAAACAGGACATGAATAAAGAAGCAATATTTTAAAATGTATTTCTATATTTTTCTGCAATTACGGTATTTTATTTCTGTATTTTTGCAGCTAATGAGGTAACCACGGCATTTATTTCAGCATTTATTTGTTCATTTATTTCTGTATTCTATTGTTTAGTCCTCATTCCTCATTATACAGTTGTTTATTTATTTACTGACACTTGTCATTTGTCGTCCTCCATATATTCCAGCACCATGCGGCAAAGATTGAGTAAAAAATGAAAAGTAGTGTTTTTATTCTCAAATAAACTATTAAACGTGTGGCTTTGAGAAATGAGACCTTTCACAGAATGGCAGCCGACATACATTCAGTCTAAAAACATTTTCATTTCACAGAGAAGAATTCGAGCTCACTGCATTCTGCGCCGCTCACAGAAATGACACGCTAATATCTCATCTCAAATCTTCAAACAAATACTGACGATCACTCGTGTTCAAAGCAATAATGGAGGCTATTTCCTGTACGAGCAGGCGTCAGGTGAAGTGTTGGAGAACTACATACAAGACAACACACAGGTGGCTGTAAAGAGAAGTCAAACACACACTTTCATACAGTATTAATCTGAGACAAGTGAGCCGGCCTCCATTAGTCCCTGTTAGCTCACATCTGTTTGATCTCTCACATCTTTCTGTGTGTGCATGTTTTATGACCCTGGAGAGCAGCTCTTCACATTGTTTACACACAACAGGTAGAATAAACAGTGTTACTGCTCATATTAGACACAGTACGTGTAAGTATGCACGTGTGTCGAGGGGCAGGCAGCATAATGAGTCACGTCTCTGCGATCTGCGTCATGAGGGGACAGGGACAAGAGGACTGCAAAGTATGTGGCCACAAGTATGAGGACAGCTGAATGTGACGTGTGAACACCTCATTCTGAAAATATGGCCATTAATGTGATGCTGTAAAGGTCTCTGTTCTTCTTGGGAGGCTTTTCCCAACACTTTGGAGGCTGAATGAGGGGATTTACACTCATTCATTCACAAGAGCATTAGGCCGTGTTCAGATCCGATTCATTTGAATGAGGCCATCTGCAGCAGGGGTTAACATTTTTTCAGGAATCCTGTGGTTCACATCCCGCATGATGGGAGCAGGGCGGGATAAGAATTCTAATAAAAATAGGTCTGTTTTTATGATTAAATATACAGCTCTATTATGAATGAATGCATTTTTGTTTATTTTGAATAATGGCCTCGAGGTTGAATACGGCCACGTTTACATCCATGTCTGTGAAAACATGGATGCTTCAAACACATCTTCAACCTGACAACACAGAAGATCTATACAATCAGCACAGTTTCAAGATGGACGCCCAAGATTAGTGTCACCAATTCACTATCTGACCAAATGTCTCCCCTTCTGTTCCTGAGATATGATGCTGATGGCTAGAAAAGTGTTTTCATAGAATATTATGATGTCATAGTGAGGTTACCCTTTGACCTTTTGGATATTAAATGTCATCATTTATCCTGTTAGACATTTGTGTGAAATTTTATCATAGTTCGTGTAGGAATTCTTGAGTTAGCCACATGTTTAGTGAAGTCAAAGTGACCTTTGACCACCAAATTCTAATCAGTTCATCTTCAACTCAAAGTGGACGTTTGTGCCACATTTGAAGAAATGCCCTCAGGATGTACTTGAGATACAGAGTTCACGAAAATGCGACAAATTAGGTCCAAGTAGCCTTGACCTTTTACCTTTCTTCTTTAATCAAACTCCCTCAAAGTGTTCTTGAGATATCATGTTCACGAGAATGAGACAGATGCAAGGTCACAGTGACCTTGATCTTTGACCACCAAAATCCATCAGTTCATCTTTGACTCAAAGTGGATGTTTTTGCCAAATAAAAAAAATTAAAAATAAAAAAACCTCAAGGCATTCTTGAGATACAGAGTTCACGAGGTTGAGACAGGTGCAAGGTCACAGTGAACTTGATCATTGACCACCAAAATCCATCAGTTCATCTTTGACTCACAGTGGACGTTTGTGCCACATTTGACAAAATGCCCTCAGGATGTTCTTGAGATAAAGAGTTCACGAAAATGCGACAAATTAGGTCACAGTAGCCTTGACCTTTCACCTTTGACCTTTAATCAAACTCCCTCAGTGTTCTTGAGATATCAAGTTCACAAGAATGAGACAGATGCAAGGTCACAGTGACCTTGATCTTTGACCACCAAAATCCATCAGTTCATCCTTGACTCAAAGAGGATATTTGTGCCAAATTTAAAAAAAAATAAAAATAAAAAGAACAAAACCCTCAAGGCATTCTTGAGATACTGCATTAACAAGAATGAGACAGACAAGATCACAGTGACCTTGACCTTTGACCTACGACCACCAAAATCTTATCAGTTTATCCTTGGTTCAAAGCGGATGCTCGTGCCCAATTTAAAAAAAAAAAAAAAAAAAAAAATCTATATCCCTAGAAGCATTCTTGAGATGTCGCCTTCATGAGAAGGAGACAGATGAGGTCACAGTGACCTTGACTTTTTTCCTATGGCCACCAGAATCTAATCAATTCATCGCTAAATCTTGTGTTTAATCTTGTGCCAAATTTGAAAAAAATCCCCCCGGACTTTAAGATTTTTTTCTCAAGACGGCCGGAAAAAACATAACGCCTTGGCTATCACTGAACAGAGGCGTAAAAATCTGGATCAAATTACTGAGTTTTTCTAAAAAGTTCTTGGACCCCTTGAAATGGTTTTGCACTGGCACAGCCTACACTGGTTTTAAAAGTATCTGTGGACACAAGGGGTGTCAAAGTTTTGGTCATATAGTTGAAATCAATAGATCCCAACTTAGGGTTCAGGACCCCAAAAGTGGTCACAAGTTAAATCCGATTATAAACCGGATAGGAAAACAGAATAAAACATATTTGTGCCACACAAAGTTATGTCCTTTTCTCCCCTCTTATCTTATTTCTGAATTATTGTTGCCTACACATTTTCCTTTTTAAAAGTCCATACTAGTCAGACTTCTAGTCTTCTCCGTAGTTCTTCAGACCACATTTGACATCTGAATACAAATAGCGGGTCGTTCAGTCCACACACCTACGCAGGAAGTTGGACGACGTTCCACTTTCATCTAACATCTCTGCCAGAAGAGGAAGCAAACTAACTGATGCTACTAATACTCACATTATTTTCCCTTAGCATACTGAATAAATATCATCCGTTTGTTTTTCATATTTTTTAGTCTTTTTTTTATAAACAAAAAGAAGTTGATTTAATTTTCACAGCATCAGTGCAGCTTTGTTGATTCACCGCGACCATGGAAACGATGATGGACGCAGACATTAATGTTTCCTTTCTCAGAAAAGATCTGTTTACTTTTCTGATAATGACAACACTGATAAATGTTCAGACGAGCTTAATATCTATTTGTGAGGCTTTGTTTGTGCAATTTGGCGCTCTGATTTGGCACTTATTCTTACTCTAATGATCAGAGGCATGAATCACGACTTTGATCCACGGGAGGAAAAATAAAGGGGAGATGGAGTGATGTGAGCAGAGCATCTTGTGTAGAGCAGACTGAGGGATGGAGGAGAGGTGGAGGCTGGAGTAGTGATGGAGAGAGCAGCACCGAGGCGAGGCGAAGTTAAGTAGCAAATCTGGAGAGGCAGATAGCGAGGCCTGGCCACACTACAGTCGCTCTCCATCCCTCTCTCCTTCTTCTTCCTCCCCCTCTTTCTGCCTGTCTGTCTGTCTCCCTCCTCCCCTTTAAGTGTCCCATAAATTACCCCCCTATTCCTCCATCTCTAAGTGATCCACTGGCAGGCTGCCCAACCTGGCTGGGAGAAAGAGAGGAAGATATGAAGAGTAGCGGCGAGAGAAAGAGGGAATACTACAGAGAGCGATTGGAACATGAAAGTGGTGGGAAGCGGGAGAGGAAACAAGGGCTGGAAATATGTGGGAAAAAGAGATTTGGAGTGAGAACGGAGGAGCGAGACACATGAAAGTGACGGCAGGGAAAATGTGTGCGACTGCAGATTTCTGCTGATTTTTCCAGGACGGCCGACGTGACTGAGCAGAACACCTCAATCCCTGGCAGAGGCAACCATTTATCCACAGTGTTTCCTCCTCACAAAGGAGAACATCTCTCCCCTCTTAGTCTCTCCTCTCTCCTCCCGGAACAATACGTAGCGGGACGAGAAAGATGACAGGGAGAGAGAGAGGGGAAAACATACTCAGCTAACTCGATTTACTCGCACTCCTCCTCTGTCACAGGCTTCTCCTCCTCGTATCTGTCTATCAGACTAACTGCTTATCTCAGCGGCGAGGCAAAGTGAAGACGTCTAATCTGAGCTCGTAGCATCAGCTGCTGTTCTTATGATGCAGGGTCGTTTCAAAGTGACAAGCAGGCCGCCTTTGATTTGAGATGTGAATGTCAGAATGTGAGTGAAATCAATTTCGAGGCAGACGGATTTTGTGCTAGTAAAGGATCCAGATGCAGGCGAGAGCTACAACTGACAACTGAGAGCTTTCAGTTCTCACATGGCACTGTTTTTTAGGGCTGCGACTCGCAGTTATCTTCGCTACTGAGTATTCTGCAGATTATTTTCTCGATTAATCGATTGGTCTAAGCCTGTTACAATATCCTGCATCGCCGTAGAGCCTACGCCGTCACCTGATGTGCACCTCCACCACCAGGAAACAAAGCTTTTATTTACTTTAATTTCACAGATGAGAAACAATAAATTGTGAAGACAATAAAGCCTCCACAAAAATAGCATTTTAAGTCTTGTGTGTGATTTATCCTGGCTTCATATGACCAGAGGAAAAGTCTGCTAGCTGCTAGGCTAATTTATACAATGTAAAATGTCATAGGCTTGAGCTAATAACGTTAGCATGTTGTATTAGTTTGGAAAACATGTTTAGTATAAGACAGTTGTTTTGTCAGTGAACCTTGTGAGTTGTAATGGAGCCAAATTATGTGACATTACCTTTGTTAAATGTTGCTGTTGTCCCTGGTTTTATATGAGTAGAGGAAAAGTCCACTAGCTGCTAGGCTAATTTATACCATGTAAAATGCCATAAGCTTGTGCTAATAACGTTAGCATGTTGTATTTGTGGGGAAAATGTGTCCAGATAAAGACAAGTGTTTGTCTGTGAATGCTGCGAGTTATAGTGAAGCTGATTTGCGTACTTGTGTTTGAAATTGTCTCTATTAAGCCATGTTTAATGTGTGTTTAATGTGTGTTTTGAATCAACTCAACAACGATCATGCAAGACAAGGAAAGCAGCAAATCCTCACATTTGAGAACCTGGACATATCACACTTTTGGCATTTTTGCTTTTAAAAAAAATGGCCTGAACGATTCATTAATTATCAAAATTACAGTTTACAAAACTAATGGGCAGATTTAGCATTAAAGTCAGGGCTGCCCCCAACTTAGAATTTTTCTAGTTGACCAACAGTTGTCATTTAGGACCATTAGTCAACTAGTCACCCCCATGTTTACGATATTAATTTAATGATTAAATTTTAAACTTTAAATTTCAGAAAACTTGTGACACAAAAAATAACTGTCTTGACGTAAGTAACCAACTGGGGAATTTCATGTAGATATCTATTAACTCAAACTTTTAATGTATCCACCTGTAGGGTCTCTTAAAATAACATGTACCTTCACAAATTCACGCAATATGAAATGCTCTCAGGCCTTAGAAGTAACACTCTGTAACTAGCGCGAGCTCATTAGCTGGACATGCTCATGATGCACTTTCACACTTCTATTTTGGATTTAGGAGAGGTTCAGATGCAGAGTATTACTCTTGCTAGAGCCCCATGTACATCACGTCAACACGTGGAGAAATCTAAAGCTTCACAGGCCCGTTGTGCCTCATCAATTTATTTTCATTATCAATTCATATTTTTTTCCAATTCATTAGTTTTCACATTTAAGTAAACATGTATACAGAAGCTATCGGTCTTATTTTTTCTTAGTTTTATTGTCTTGTGTCAGGATAAGAGTGATAACACATGTTATAGAAGCTATTGTGCACAGACAGGCGTCCCTAGAGAGTTTGGCTTGCCCTTTGGTGTGAAAACCACTGCCTTAGAGAGACGATTTTCTTCACACTGAATACCAAAAATGACTCGAAGAGGATCCGTGTCAATTGTTTTTCAGAGTATTTTGGACAGGGCTGAAAAATGGAGAATAAAATTGACATTTTGCTCCATAAAATGTCAGAAGAAAGGGGAAAAGCGATGGTTTTCTCTGACCAACAGTCTAAAACCCAAAGATTATTAATTTAAAATAAATCAATGTGATATAAGGCTGAAACTGGCCCATATTCGGGATCTTTGCATCATAAATCAACTCAAGCTGCTGTCTTTGAAGAGCCTCTTGTATAAAGATACCTACAGTCTCTCTGCCCAGCTCTCCCTTTATAAGTACAGTCACGCTCACTGTGTTCTGGCGAAGAATCCAACAAGGAAACACGCCAACAACTGTGCTCAATATGCTTTAATAATCCCACAATACACTGATATGGGCCACAGTGGCATTTCGGGAAGAGTCCCCAGCTGCTCGCCCTCAATCAAACCTCGCCAATCTGGAGAAGTATCAGAAGAGAAATGTGGCCTGATTGCCTTGTGTGTTCATTTCCTGCTCTGGCTACTCTCATCACAGTGACACCAGCCGGGCCTCTGAGAGGCTGATGGTGCCATCTGGTGGCTGAGATGGGAACAACAAGACGAGAGGACACTTACCCATCAGAGTCGATGCTGTTTTCATGAACCATGGCTTTCAGGGCGTCAGAGTTTGCTGCAGAGGGAGAGAGAAAGTTGCACGTTTAATAGAAGAAAGGGAGAGATAAGGGTAGTGTTGGGAATTAGCGAGGAGAACGCTCCAGTGACTTCAAAAGCAGAGCGCTTATTGAAAGATGGCTGCAGCAGATTAACTCCTTAACACAATTAAACGCCACACAATCACTGTACACAAAACCCTCAGGGGAGAGTGCCTCAACAGACAAAAAAAAAACTTTTGTTGGTGCAAACAAACAGACTCTGAAAAGTTTATTCCTGTATAATGGTCAAGACTTTGACCCAGGGAAATCACATGTTCCTGTCCTGCGCATGAACTCCACAGACGTCTGCTCCCAGACGACGCAGCATCAACAAACAGACAACAGATTTACATAATTTGTTCCCAGACACAGATTTCCCCGAGGCCTGGGCCTGATGCGTTCACTGACTTCCCCATGAGCGCACTGTGTGAACACTGATAAAGGAGAAAGGGGGAGATGTACCGAGCGCTACTGAGACACGGAGATGACTCATGAAGGTGAACATGGGGGGTTTCATGTTTTGATTTCATCTAAACGTGTGACTCAAACCGCCGTCCTCCTCATCTTCCTCATATCATCAGGCACCACGGGGGGGTTACAACATCATCCTTGCTACCGGACAGATATTTTTAGCCCGTAAGTTTTATTAAACTGCGGCTGCTTTGGTCATTTTGTGTGTACAAGGCTTTTGATACTGTGGCACTGAGTGATTAAACGAAAGACTAGGTTATAGTTTTGAGTTATTAAACATGTAATATGAAACTTTTCAGCAATAAAGTCTAAAAACAACCACACCAGGGGTAGGGTAGGGAACCTGCAACTCTTTGGCCCCTCTCCAGTGACTCCCTGTGGCTTTGACAGAAAATTTTGACATTTTGTCAACTAAAATGTGCATCATACGTCTGGCCTGACACCATTTCCTCTGAAACGTCACCATCGATTGCTACAGCAGTCTTGAGTCTTCCTAGCTGGACCAGCTGTGGATTCCAAATCCAAAAAGGGAAAAGTCTCAGTGGAAAATGCTGCAAAGTTAAAGTACAAAATCATCTACTGCTGACCAGCCACCTTGTGCTAAAACACCTAAATGAATGCTCATTTAGATCCTTTAGTAATGCTGATGGGCTAAATTTGACTTCAAAGGCTGTGTTACCTTTATTTTGAGACTCAAATATGTTTTGCGGCTCCGGACAGATTTTTTTTTTCTTCTATTTCGGCCAAAAATGTTTGATAGTAACGGTTACTGACCCCTGAACTATACCAATGGGTGCGGTTACATGATGGCTTCTCATTCAGAATGACATAAACCTGAATGAAATCATTCGGAATTAAAGTCTTTCCAGGTAGTTTACATGGGAAATATTCATTCCGAATGAGGGTTTACACGGGAGATCAGGTTAATTGCCTTTTAATCACCTTTATTCGGGTATGCGCAAGGTTTGGGGCAGGGAAGGTTTCTGATTGGATAGGTGGCGGGGTGGATGTTACGTGTTTACGTTTACCAGAAGAAAACACTGTCGTCCTCGCTCCGGATAACAAGATGCGTGACGCCGCCGTTCTTAGTGCCTTTTTCCGGCTTGTTTTGCTTATATTCTTGAAACAGCAGTACGACAACAACCTTGTTCTGCTAATGCTTCGTCTGTTGAGGAGGAGAAGGAAGGTAGAAGACCGTGCTGTGGCGTATGGAGACCAGTGAGTGCAACGAGTCCGACTGCTCTATCTCAGGGCAAGGAAACGAGCATGCGCAGAGCGACCAGAGTGAACTTAAAGACGAATGAGTGTATACAGTACAGGCCAAAAGTTTGGACACACCTTCTCATTCAATGCGTTTTCTTTATTTTCATGACTATTTACATTGTAGATTCTCACTGAAGGCATCAGAACTATGAATGAACACATGTGGAGTTATGTACTTAACAAAAAAAGGTGAAATAACTGAAAACATGTTTTATATTCTAGTTTCTTCAAAATAGCCACCCTTTGCTCTGATTACTGCTTTGCACACTCTTGGCATTCTCTCCATGAGCTTCAAGAGGTAGTCACCTGAAATGGTTTCCACTTCACAGGTGTGCCTTATCAGGGTTAATTAGTGGAATTTCTTGCTTTATCAATGGGGTTGGGACCATCAGTTGTGTTGTGCAGAAGTCAGGTTAATACACAGCCGACAGCCCTATTGGACAACTGTTAAAATTCATATTATGGCAAGAACCAATCAGCTAACTAAAGAAAAACGAGTGGCCATCATTACTTTAAGAAATGAAGGTCAGTCAGTCCGGAAAATTGCAAAAACTTTAAATGTGTCCCCAAGTGGAGTCGCAAAAACCATCAAGCGCTACAACGAAACTGGCACACATGAGGACCGACCCAGGAAAGGAAGACCAAGAGTCACCTCTGCTTCTGAGGATAAGTTCATCCGAGTCACCGGCCTCAGAAATCGCAAGTTAACAGCAGCTCAGATCAGAGACCAGATGAATGCCACACAGAGTTCTAGCAGCAGACCCATCTCTAGAACAACTGTTAAGAGGAGACTGCGCCAATCAGGCCTTCATGGTCAAATAGCTGCTAGGAAACCACTGCTAAGGAGAGGCAACAAGCAGAAGAGATTTGTTTGGGCCAAGAAACACAAAGAATGGACATTAGACCAGTGGAAATCTGTGCTTTGGTCTGATGAGTCCAAATTTGAGATCTTTGGTTCCAACCGCCGTGTCTTTGTGAGACGCAGAAAAGGTGAATGGATGGATTCCACATGCCTGGTTCCCACTGTGAAGCATGGAGGAGGAGGTGTGATGGTGTGGGGGTGTTTTGCTGGTGACACTGTTGGGGATTTATTCAAAATTGAAGGCACACTGAACCAGCATGGCTACCACAGCATCCTGCAGCGACATGCCATCCCATCCGGTTTGCGTTTAGTTGGACGATCATTTATTTTTCAACAGGACAATGACCCCAAACACACCTCCAGGCTGTGTAAGGGCTATTTGACCAAGAAGGAGAGTGATGGAGTGCTGCGGCAGATGACCTGGCCTCCACAGTCACCGGACCTGAACCCAATCGAGATGGTTTGGGGTGAGCTGGACCGCAGAGTGAAGGCAAAGGGGCCAACAAGTGCTAAACACCTCTGGGAACTCCTTCAAGACTGTTGGAAAACCATTTCAGGTGACTACCTCTTGAAGCTCATGGAGAGAATGCCAAGAGTGTGCAAAGCAGTAATCAGAGCAAAGGGTGGCTATTTTGAAGAAACTAGAATATAAAACATGTTTTCAGTTATTTCACCTTTTTTTGTTAAGTACATAACTCCACATGTGTTCATTCATAGTTTTGATGCCTTCAGTGAGAATCTACAATGTAAATAGTCATGAAAATAAAGAAAACGCATTGAATGAGAAGGTGTGTCCAAACTTTTGGCCTGTACTGTACATGCACACAAAATTCTTTCATTCGGAATGACAAACGGAATAAACCACCCCCTTTAATCAGATTTAATTTACAATCTGAATGACCGTTTACATGACCACTTTATATCGGAATCCGAATCCGAATTAAAGTGGAATTAAACTGTCCATGTAAACGTACTGACTGTTACATACCAATCATTCTCAGAACCCATCGGCTGTATTCGGCGTCTGACTTCCAGCAGACGGCGATACAGCCTCTGGGGGCAGACCCCTGATTTTTTGGCATTCTGGTTTGATTTGGGTGGAGGAGGCAAATTTCCATTTCCGACTTCCGTTTATATATAAGTAAATATGCTGAACCATTGCAATGGATTCAGAGTTTGCAGTGACGCCAATTATGTTCCGCCTTGTTAGTTCACCGCACGGACCATTTAACCTGGCAACAACTGCAGCCGGCTCAAACGTGATTGGTCAATATCACGCGGACTACAAACAGCCTACAACCGGAAACCAGGGCCCTTCCTCTCTTCTCCCGGAGGCAAGATCTCCGGGGTTTGCCTACAGACTCTACATTCACTGAATGTAGAGTCTGTATATAGGGACTATATACCAATGTATAGTTGTGTACGGACATAATTCCAAATGTTTCCAACAATATTCAAACTAAGAGAAATCTGTAATTCTAATCAAGGACATGGTCCATGTCATTTGGTCACTGTCACTTTCACGGTACAATAACTGTCTCAGAAAAAATCAAGGTTTCATAGTATCACAGTAAGGGGCTGAGCCGAATACTCGGATGAAACGAGTGTCCCGGACTTGTTTGCACTTGCACCTGAGTACAATGTACTTGTGATAACGGAAAATAGTCATTTTGGTAGCTGTGTTTAATCTATTACTCGTGATATAAAATGATCAGAAGCTCAATTCTGAGGCTGTTCTGAAAATACTTTTTTCACAGGTAATAAATATGGCTACATCTGATCAATCCTGATAAATGTCAGGCTTGAGATAACAACTTCTGATTAGGCCCAACCCACTTTAGACTTAAACCCCACCCACTTCTGGCATAAATAAATTCCAAGTACAAATACCGAGCCTTAACCCAGCGCTCCCTATTTTTTCCCCATACACAGATCATTTATTGGTTGAACAGACACAGATAACTCATTAGGGTATGAGTCTACTCACTCATACCTAATCACTGTATTACAGAATTATCATTATTATTATTCTTATCAATTAGAATAACCCTTAAGGGAATGAAAACAGAAGGGGTATTTTTGGTTGAGCAAACATTTTATTACTTGAAACAGTTTTTTAAAATGGAAGTATGCGTTAAAATTCACCTCTTTGAAAAAAAGGATTCAGGCTTTTATGTCAAAGATGTAATTACTGTCATGCTATTTTTACCTGCCTTCTGAAACATTCAATAGTAAATATTTCAACTTATCAAGAGTTGTGCTGCTAGACTTTTAACCAAAACCCTGAACAGAGAGCAAAGTAGCGTGGTTTTAGCTGCACTCCACTGGTTCCCAGTATCTTTTTCAATAGATTTAAAGGTTCTTTTACTTGTTTTTAAAGCTCTTAATAGTTTAGGACTGTCCTACACTGCAGACTCTCTGTCGTTTTATATCCGTCATGAGCTCTCAGATCTTCTACTGCTGGGTTTTTAAATACACACAAGAAAAAAGGCAGAACAACTTTTGTTAACTGTGCTCCAAATCTATGGAATATACTTCCAAAAGTTATTAGAGACAGCTGAAAACATGTTTATGGGTCTGGCTTTTAATCAATTCAAGGTTGTAGTATGACTGTGCCAGCACTGTGACACCCTTATTTTGAAATGATCTTCATGGCTGAGCAAAGACTGCCCTCTACAGACGAACACTGCTCCTCATTGTGACTTCACTGCTCTTATGTTTATTTATGCACAACTGCTGCTGCTGGACACCACTTATCATTCCTGGAAACAGCCTGTAATGAAGCTTTCAAACATTTTCTAGGTTGGATGTTTAAACAGACATTTTCACAGTCCCCTAATAGGAAATATTTTGGTCGTCAGAGTCCTGAATTGCACTACGTCTCCAGAGTGACACTGTGAGGGTGAGTCACAGTTAACGGACTCGGCAAACACTGTTACGATGAAAGCAGAGATGAGTCAGCTCAGAGCTCGCCTCTGGAGGGTGGACAGAAAAATCAAAACAGAACAATGCTGCCTTCATGTGTCACACGGCGCGTTAGTCATCTGATAAGAAGTGAAGGATGGTTTAGTCTGCAGTGGAATTCAGCTCCAGTGATCAATATTCACAGATAAGCTGTGTCTGTGCAGTTCCTGTATCTAGAAACATTATCAATATCACCTCAACAGATGTAATTATAAAGTAAATTGATCCCTATATTGTTACATCAGTGTTATATTGTCCTCATCATCTGCTATATCAGACATATTTTTATTTTCCCATAGTTTTAATGTCATGTATTTTTAATGCCTTACGATGGACACCACCAGGCAAAAGGAAACCCAGAAGACCCAAAACCACCTGGCGCAGAACTGTGACACTGCAGCTGGAAAAGATGAACGTGTCACGGGGAGAGGCGCAACATGCTGCCAAGGATTGTATGCAATGGAAAGAGCTCACTGAGGCCTTATGTCCATAGGGGATGAAGAGGAGTAAGTGAGTTCAAAGTTTGTTTAACAGGAAACAGCCCTGAAATCACCATCACCAAACCCACCAGACTCCATTTAAATAAACAGTGATTTTAGCGTGTATAGAGGCAGCGTGTTTTCACATCTAACTGAGTGAGTTAAGGGTTAATTTCAACCAAACCAGAGCTGGTGATTGTTGGGACGGTGGAAGACAAACCAAGATGGTTTTTGTGAGTTTTATTTTGTGTCTGCTGACTTTGAATAAAGTGTGTGTAATGATGATAGAATCACTGTTTATTCAAATGGACCCTGGTGGGTTGGCGATGGCGAGTTCAGGGCTGCTGCCAGTTAAACAAAAAGATTTCACTATTTAAAAAAAGCTCTATCTCTGTAGGGATCCTTTCCATAATGTTGTCAGACAACCCTTCAAGGAGAAGTCCGGTATTTTGCACTTTGAGCCCCATTTCTGGGTTGTTTATGATGAAATAGAGTGGCTCAGACCAAAATAGTGACAATTGCTCTTTTTCGGAGAATTTGTCTTTCCCCTGCCTGGCTTAACACTGCTGCCTATGGCCATGTGTGAACCTGTCCTAAAACCACCCTAAACGTTTGTTTTCAAAGCCATGAAACTCACCGAGTGGTCAGTGGTGTTTGTTGATGTTCTGACATAAAAATCGTAGCAAACTGCGGTTTCCATGATGATTTATTTGAAATTTTGTCTAATCCATTGATTTTCTATAGAAGCCTCATTGTCTGTTAGCAGTAATCCGCCACCGGAAACGGAAAGGGAGTTGTTTACAACAAGGTTGCAGTAATTGTAGTCTTTTAGCTCAGCGAAAGTGCCGGCTCGACAGTGCTGTGTGCTCTCCTGGAGGAAGAACGAGAACGAACGAAAAAGTTTCGTAATAAGTTTAAACACCTGTGTAATGGATTACTCGCTTGTAAACAACCTTCGCAGTACAATGCCTTTGAACACAACGCCAACCTTCTTCTTCTCCTTCTTTTCTGTGTCCCATTACATTGCAATGGTTTCCTGCCGGTTGTCGACACCCACGTAAAGGAGCATTAGTGTTGTCACAATACCAAAATCTTTGTTTCGGTATCAATACCAATATGAATTTCGATACTTTTTGATACTCTTCTGTACTTTTCCTGAGGAAAAGTCCTTTTGGATACAAACCTTTAGAACAGTAAATAGTAGGGGTGTAACGGTACCAAAAAAATCATGGTTCGGTAAGTACCTCGGTACGGACGTCATGGTTTGGTAACTCAAATGTTCCACCAAGTTGATGTTGTCTCGTGTTGTCTCCCTTTGCGAGGCAGACTTTCTCTTGTCTTTTTTCACGTGCGCCAGCTGCGAATGTTGATACAGGTGTTGTCATACACACCACTTGTGCAATCTGTGCTCCAATAGGAACAAGAAAGGCGTTTGTGTGCATAAATGAGTAAAATAAATTAATGAATTGAATCAATTCCAAAGTACCGGTATTTTCCAAATGCAGTATAGTACTGTTTGGAATACCCTAGTACCGCGGTACTATTTTAGTACCGGTATACCGTGCAACACTAAGGAGCATTATCGCCATCAAGTGGGCTGGGCAGGGTCAAACGAACGATCAAGCGGAAGTTTACACACGGGTGTGAGGCAGCTGAAAAAACAGTTCCACAATCAAGATGAATAAACACAGAAACACAGATGGAAACCACAGTTTGCTACGATTTTTATGTCAGAACATCAACGAACACCACTGACCACTCGGTGAGTTTCATGGCTTTGAAAACGAACGTTTAGGGTGGTTTTAGGACAGGTTCACACATGGCCATAGGCAGCAGTGTTAAGCCAGGCAGGGGAAAGACAAATTCTCCGAAAAGGAGCAATTGTCAAAATGTCTTAGCCACTCTGTTTCATCATAAACAACCCAGAAATGGGGCTCAAAGTGCAAAATACCAGACTTCTCCTTTAAAGCAATCTGAGCCTGATAGCGGCAAAACAAGCACTTTTAGCGGACGGTTTGAACACAAGCTTTTACACTGCAGCCTGTTTTGCCGCTGCTCTCGCTCAATACTGGACTAATTTCAAATAATGTCGTTCTCATTAGACACGTAGGGTGTTTTCACATACAGTCCTTTTTAAACAAACCGAAATCAGTCGTCTTAAAGTGCACCAAAAAGTGGACAGAAACAGGACTTGGTTCTCTTTCTGTTCACACTATAGCCTATATATAATATATACTGACGTAATTGTTTTCTTTTTTTACTTTGACGTGGCACTGTAATGTGGTTATGAAGCCCCTCGCTTTCAGACTAGGGCTGCAACTAACGATTATTTTCTTTGTTGAATAATCTGTCGATTATTTCTTCGATTAGTCGACTAATAATTTTATCGAAAAATGTGTTAAAATTAGGGCTGACCTTCGAATCCATTTATGGACATTCGAAGCTTCGGAGCTCAGAACGAATTTAATTCGAAGGGTTTTAGTTCACCATCATGGGAGAGTGTGTAAAGCTGCCAATATCTGAACGTAACAAGGTGCAATAAGAGTATTTTGGGGTACTTTATGGTACTTTTCTATGATAAATGACTCAAACCAATTAGTCGACTACTAAAATAGTCACCGATTATTTTAATAGTCGATTAGTCATCGATTAGTCGTCTAATCGTTGCAGCCCTATTTCAGATGAACTTAAAAATAGAGGAAAACCTTGGCTAATTCCATCTGATGTGTTCTATATTCCACATCTAGAGACGTGCGGTATCTTCAGTGGACCAAACTACTCCTCGTCCTGAGTCCTTGAAAGTGTCCCAGTGCAACATAAGATCTAGAGGGCTAAATACAATGGCAAAGAGCAAGGCGAACCTGGAATACTTTGCGTTCACAGGGCACAGGTTAAGTGAACCGCACCACGGGCTTGAAGCGAACTGAACTTAGACCACCTCCCGAGATAATTCGGTTTGCTTCAGAGGGGTCTGAGTTCTCTCTCTTAAATACCCTTTAACTCCCATGAATACCCACTCTATTCTTTCGTCAGTAAATTACTTGTTCCACTGGCCTGTTGTGTCACAAGAAATATAGTTGTTCTGAACATTTTCCAAGTAAAACAACAGATTGAACTCAACACTGAACTCCTGATATCCAAGTGCCAAGACAAACCTTTTTATCAGTAACTCTTTGAACAAATACACCAGCAGTTCCTCTGCGTCACCTAAATATCAGAGCACCCTGTCGTCTACGTTTGAACCAGAGTTACGTACCGTACCTACAAATAACAGCAGTTAACCGGTTGTCAATAGAGTTTATTAGCACTGAGGGAAATTCTGTAATCTACACTGTCAGGACAGGCACGTGTGTTCATACTAATCAAGCAGACACAATACAAGCATCGATCCTTATCTCTCCTGTCGCCACTTACAAACCCAGCCGAACAAAGAGCTGCAATTACTCGGTATAATGAGAGCGCTGTGATTTATTCGAAATCAACCTCATGTTCCGGGTCTGGGAAATAATTCTGGTTTGCAGGAATAAGGAAATCAAATAACAACAATCACACTCCTGTGACCGCGATAGGAAAGAGTGACGTAACCAAACGTTTTCCCTTGAAATTCCTCTGCAGTGGCTCGACTGTCCTGACGTTGAACTTCCACGGATATCCTCGTTCCTGAGCCAATAATGCACACACACACAAACTGACACACACGTTCTTCCTGAATAGTTTGTAACAGTCTGCTTGCCAAAATATTGACAGAGTGCAGCTGTAATGACTTCATGTAGAAGGCAGAGAACAGCCAAAATGAAAATGGAGCTTCACTGGTTTATAAACGTGGCAAAATAAAGTATTTAAATGTTCGTGGGTTAGTAAAGTCGGACACTTACCTTCATTTTTCATGATGTAGCGGACGATCTGCCCAACTGTGTCGTTGTTCTCACTGAGCGTGTCATTCATGTCTGAAAGACAAGCAGACAAACACACACATAATTAGAAACACTCAACTTATTAAGTGTGTAATCGTAATAACAACATATTTCTGCAGTTTATTTATATTCCAGAGAGCAGTACAGTAAAACAAACGATATAGCCTGAGAGGATTTGTGTAAGTGTGCGCTGAGAGGCAAACACTCTTCAGGCATGGCCTCAGGGCCACATTTTACATCGTAAACACCAAACATGATACCCATAAATCATCATTGAAGAGCTGTTGTTAATGTTACAACAGGATGATGTTACTCCCAGAGGTTTGATGGTTTAACTGGAGCAGGAATGGACTCAACAAGCATGCTGTTTGCCTCGTACAACCACTACAAGCTTGGAAAGATACTGATATGATATTAACACTGTGATATGAGAGGAGAAAATGTCTGGGGTGTTTGCTATGCACATACATCTTTCGTTTTTTGTCTGACTGTTGAGGCATTATCTTTAAAACTATGGGCTACTTTTGCAAAACTTTACACCAAATCAGCAAACATTATACATCTCTTGCAAAACAGCTTTTCTCTGGCATTACTGAACTCACATATCTCGAGGAGCTGCAATCTTTGCAATCTTTGTGCTTGTGCAATACTCACTTCCTGTCAACCCAGTGACATCACTCTACATCTGTCACACTGCACTTTAACTGCTGCTGCTGATGTTTGCACACTTGTTTACTGGACTTTTATAGACATTTTTACACTAAATACTGCTTATATTTTGCACTTATATTGGTTAGATTTTATTGCTGAATATATCTCTTATCGTACTTTACTCTATATTTGAATTTGTGTAGTTGTTTTTTTAATAGTATGCTTCATTTGAGGATTTTAATAAAGTTCTTGAATCTTCTTAACATATCACAGTCATTATAAAGGCTACACACACATGCTATATCTTGTTTTTTTTTCCAGGACAATCTGGACTAACCAGATTTGCCATCATTCCATGTCCTTCTATGTGCCTGTATTTTATATTAATTTTTATATCAATGAAAAAAAAAATCTGTGTAACTAAACTCTTATATTTTTACATGTATCTCAGCGTAGCAAGTTGGAAGTTGACATAATCTGCCATATCTGAAGAGGGGAGACTCTCTGGAATCTGGCAATATAAGAACCATGATGCTGGGACATTCTGTCACTTCACAGCTGTCCAAAACATGTGGTTTGTGCCAGGCGGACATGATTGCCAGTATTTTTTCATTATTGCAAGAAATTCCATTGACTCATTCACAAGTCAAAAATGTGTTTTATCTGAAAGAAACATGCAATATTTACATCTAAGATCATAGAAAAATAGTCAGCCAAGTGCAATGATGTCCTCCAAGATAATATTTGTTTTTCAGTTTCAGTTATATATAGGGGAGACATTTTGGGCATAGGGGGGGGGGGGGCATGTGTCCCCCTCAATGTATATGGTGACTACTGCCCTGTCAGCATGCATAATTAGGTTACTGTTGTCTGGGTGCGCAAAGGTGAAGTGGCTGGTCTTGTCATACAAAGTTTGATGGAGTGTCAACTGGACAATATGGAGATATTTGCATCTTGAAAGCCGGACTACAAATGTGGATAGACAGGGAGAAACACACGCAAGCCTAAGACGTGGTAAGATACGATATTCCTCACTATATGAAGTGACTGATAACAAAATCTGTATAATGGGTTGTAAAGAAATTCGTCAGGTTTTTACTTTGTAGACAAATGATCTGTATTTATAGCATGATGGGATGACAGTACAATGATGTGTGTGGTCCTGCGCTTTCATGTGATGTGCGTGGCATTTCTGTGCGAGCCTGCATTCGCGAGTAATCCATCCAAGAATAATGTGTGTGCAGAGCTGTATGAAAGCTCTGTTATACGTCATTTTATTGTAATTTTATCAATTTTTTTCGCTGTGAAAACATTGGACTACCGACAAGTGCTCGGCCTTGTCGGAAAGCTACAATTCTGCTGTTTCCGCTGATATGCGTGGCTTCTCGCTTGGACACACGGTCGCAGAGAAAATCCACAGAGAAGAACAGGTGTGAATTTGGACACACTATGCGTCATTCGGGCCCCTAGTCTAAACTTCTCACTTTCAACATTTTATTGAGAACATTTAGGAACAGTGCTGCATGTTAACTTTTGTCTGCACGTTGTTTTTGTCGCCATTGTTGCTGAGTCTGAGGTGCAAGTCATGCGCTCTTACTCTGCCTTCACCTCAGGTACTGAAATTTGGCACCGTTTCATTTTAAGTGAATCGGTACTCGGTAGTACCGACGTGAATCGGTACCAAGTACAAAAAGTACCGAGTTTCGGTACCCAACCCTAGTAAAAATGAAAAAATATTGTGGCTTTTGCTTTTTCTATGCGCAGGGCAAAGCAATACAGTTGTCATACGTGTAGTAAACACACATACACACAGGTATTCTAGGGCCTGTTCTCACGCCTGGTGCAGCAATGGGTCATTGTTAGTTTGAGACTGGTGCAGTTGTGTTCACAGCCAGCACTCACATATTGTAAGCAGCATTTGGAAGTGCACCTATTTGTGCAGCCATGGGTGTGTAGGTCTTAAAATGAGGTGTGGTCAGGCGCATTGTTGGCGGCTTGCTATTTTAAGGCAGCACAAAGAGACGGAACTATTGATCAACAAGAACCAGATCTAAAGACAGGATGGTTCAGGGTTTTGTTCTGCTATTTAAAGGACTCATTACTGAGATGGTAAGATATGTAGATGGGTTCGCAACATGCATATACTCTGCTTGTTACACACACAGGGAGGCATGGATGGGTTGCAGGTGAGTGAAATGCTCTTACTGCATTACTGTTGCTTCAACAAGTTGCTGAAAACACTATGTACTGTAGATAGCAGCTTTCAAAGGGAATCGAAGATGACGCTCTGATTAGTTGAATCTATATTACGGCAAAAACACACCTGTGATTCCCCTCACGACTACTTTGCCCCAGATTATTACCCCTTTTCGACAGTCATGGGCTTGGCTTGGCTTGGCTTGGTTTGGTTTGAGTCATCAGCCTAGCAGAGCAGGGATTTGTGTTTCCATTACAACAGAGCTGCCCCTTTGAAGGTGGGTCTTCAACTGATGACGGCTTGTCCTGAGTGACTTAAAAAGCAGCAGGCTAATCCACAGCTAAAGGTCCCCATTATTTTGCTGCATGTGTTTTTCCATCACACATTACCTGCCCTGCTGTGTGAACAGGTGCAGTGAGAGCCCGTTGTCTGCAGCAGAAAATACGGAGATGTTGAGTTTTCAAGCAGCAGCTTCTAATACAGCTGATAGCGAACATGAAACAGTAAAATAAAATAAACTAAGAAACTAAACTCCAAACTACATAGATTCAGTTCGAAGCTACAAAAGTCTTTTAAAAACGCCTTCCTCTCTGGTCTCCTGCAGACAGAGGTGAGGAGAGTCTCACAACACACACGGCTTGTTTGAGAGGGACAAGGGTGGTCGTCAGGGGTTTGCGAGACTTCACCGCTACCCGCTTGAGGATCGGCCACCCAGCTTTTGGACCTACTCTGGAGAAGGTCCATCTCTGCACAGCTTGGCATGGCATGGCGAGTCTAAACTGATAATGGAAATCGGTGCAGCATTGCTTGACTTGGCACGGCTGAAAAAGGCCCATATGTTTGATTAAAAGTGGATGGGAACGCCCTGAATACACCTGCGCCATGCACTTTGGACCATGCATTATCAATGGCTAAATAGGGCCCTAAATGTGTGAAGTATGGATGCGTATTCGACAAAAACAGTGTGTAAGAAAAAGAAAAATAGAAAAGAATTGGGCTTGATCTCGTCTGTTTTCTGGGTCTGGCCATCAGATGCCATCCACATCTCGTGATGTTGTCTTGAGCAGTGACGCAATATAGAGGCTAATGTTTAAATTTTTGCTAGCAGTGTGTACTCGGTTTAAAGCTGAGAACATGCAGTGACTTTGGCACACATTGGCTACAAGTGTCAGTGGTTTCAGAGGTAGTGCTTCAAATGTCTGATGAAACGGTCAACTTTCATTCACAGCATTTTTTGGCCACTTGGGGGCAGCATAGCAAGCTATAAATACAACATTTATTATGTAGAAAATGGTGCTATTGTTTTCAGTTTTTGTACAGTATCAATAGGTGACTAGGTGTTGCTCAACCCTTGTGTAATCATACACACAGATTCCCATAAATGTGCAGTCAATGACTGTCTTCCTTCCTTCTGACGAAACAGAAAACTTGTACACGAGCCCTTCCACTCAGCACACACCCTGGTGAGGCACTTCCTAGAGCTTCCTGTTGACTGCTTCCTAGGCTTTGTCCCCTCACTTGTGATAAGCATAATACACTTTCAGTGATTTCTGGGATTGTTCTGATGTTTCACGGCTGATTAACGTGCACAGTGTCAAAGGGAGCTGCTCACCGCTTGTAAAAGTCAGCTGCAGAGACAAAAGCGGAAAGAAGAAGAAGAGGAAATCTGATCGTTGCGTAACCAGAGAGGTTGGATCAGCTGAATGAGTGAGAGAACGCACAGGCAATGCTTTTTGTTTCTTTTGTTTCGACGTATGTGAGAGGCAGGGTTGGGCCTGCTGCGGAAAGACATGCAGAGAAAGGCAGAGAGAGCAGGGAAAACCCTAATGCACTTATTGTGCTGCTGGCAAGGGGTTGACATTCACTCCACAGGAGGAACCAGCTCTACGCCTCTCCTCTTCCAATACCTACTCCACTTAACTAATGAGGTAATAATTAATCTGAGTCAGTGGAGGGGTTCAGGGCTTTGGCCAATGTGGGAAATAGTGGAGATGTGATGTGCATGGAGGAAATCTGTGCAGTGGGCTGCTGTGTGAGAAAGGCTCTCTTCGATCCTGGTAGCATGGTGTAAACACTTCATTCTTTCCATAACATTTCTCATGCTTGTAACATACCCCGGGGCGACCCACTGATACCAGAGGTTTCACGTCTGCACACGAGGATTATAAGAAGGAGAGCACTAACC